CCAGAGTTCAAAACGGCTCATATCAAATTCATATCGAACCCATCCCATCTAGCCTCGTTTTTCATTTATTGAGTATCCAAAACTAATATCAAATACTTATTGTATTTGAAGTAACAAAGTTCTGTCATAAAGTCATAAAACATGGTCCTTTATGATTTTTTTTATACTCTTGTACTTGTTATTGCTTTCTACAACAAATGTTTGACACAAAGTATCAGAAACAAAATTTGTATCGTTTGGTTGATATGGCTGCTTACGAACTGCCCAGAGTTTATTGTGGCGTCTTTAGTTTGAAGTACTTGGTGACAGACAATGACGTGGACTGACAATATTTTGATCCTGAAAATATACAGTCATGACATTGGCACACGACGCCAGAAAATACACCAAAAACAATATCAGGGAGATGTGGGATGGATTTTATCAACAATATAATCATACTTAGAAACTGATCTTAGAAACCAACCGTCCGAAACAAATAAACAAGACACAGACAAAGTGACCGAACAATAAATAAACAATCAAACATTTGATAAAGGCACGTAATGGCCGATATCTCCTCCAATAGTCGGTACTCAGTCATGAGTAACGTTGTGAATGTCGCGATACGCAATCATAAGTAACGATGTGCACGTCGCGGTACTCATGACTTGAGTAACGTTGTGAATGTCGCGATACGCAATCAAGAGTAACGTTGTGAATGTCGCAATATTCAGTCATGAGTAACGTTGTGAATGTCGCTATACGCAGTCATGAGTAACGTTGTGAATGTCCGCGCAGTCTAATCAGGATCCATGCTGTCCGCTATTAGTTTCTCTACTTGTAATAGGGTTTGTAAGCGAACAGCATGGATCCTGATCAGACTGCGCGGTCTGGATCCATGCTGGTCGCAAACGCATTACGTTGATTTTGTCATGACGCGGCTCGTATAAAGACGTTAAGGATTTTTTACTATCTCGGACACATTAACTACCTTATATTAAATAAGGTAAAACCATTATCAAATATGTAAAATATGCATGTTCTGAAAATCTTCCTACTTCACCAACACACTACAACATTAAATTTGCAAGAAAAGCAAATACATTTTATTGTCATATTCGTTTAAGTATAATACGTTCCATTTCATATAAAATGACGAAGAACGGCGGAGAATACACATATATTTTTACTTTAATTCACAATCAATGCATTTTCAGCATTTGCACTACGTAATGATCAAATAGAAATCATTGCTGGGTTCAGTCTTATTAATTTAGCGTCTTGTTAATTTTCAGGGTCCAAATAATTCATTCACACCTCATATAGCCTCGTTTTCATTTCCACAGTCCAAACAGCTCATATCAAATCCATATCACACCTTTTATAGCATCGTTTTCATTTCCAGAGTTCAAACGGCTCATATCAAATTCATATCGAACCCATCCCATCTAGCCTCGTTTTCATTTATTGAGTATCCAAAACTAATATCAAATACTTATTGTATTTGAAGTAACAAAGTTCTGTCATAAAGTCAAAACATGGTCCTTTATGATTTTTTTATACTCTTGTACTTGTTATTGCTTTCTACAACAAATGTTTGACACAAAGTATCAGAAACAAAATTTGTATCGTTTGGTTGATATGGCTGCTTACGAACTGCCCAGAGTTTATTGTGGCGTCTTTAGTTTGAAGTACTTGGTGACAGACAATGACGTGGACTGACAATATTTTGATCCTGAAAATATACAGTCATGACATTGACACACGACGCCAGAAAATACACCAAAAACAATATCAGGGAGATGTGGGATGGATTTTATCAACAATATAATCATACTTAGAAACTGATCTTAGAAACCAATCGTCCGAAACAAATAAACAAGACACAGACAAAGTGACCGAACAATAAATAAACAATCAAACATTTGATAAAGGCACGTAATGGCCGATATCTCCCCCAATAGTCGTACTCAGTCATGAGTAACGTTGTGAAATGTCGCGATACGCAATCAATAAGTAACGATGTGCACGTCGCGGTACTCATGACTTGAGTAACGTTGTGAATGTCGCGATACGCAATCAAGAGTAACGTTGTGAATGTCGCAATATTCAGTCATGAGTAACGTTGTGAATGTCGCTATACGCAGTCATGAGTAACGTTGTGAATGTCGCGATATTCAGTCATGAGTAACGTTGTGAATGTCGCGATACTCAGTCATGAGTAACGTTGTGAATGTAGCGATACGCAATCAAGAGTAACGTTGTGAATGTCGCAATATTCAGTCATGAGTAACGTTGTGAATGTCGCAATATTCAGTCATGAGTAACGTTGGGAATGTCGCTATACGCAGTCATGAGTAACGTTGTGAATGTCGCGATATTCAGTCATGAGTAACGTTGTGAATGTCGCTATACGCAGTCATGAGTAACGTTGTGAATGTCGCGATATTCAGTCATGAGTAACGTTGTGAATGTCGCGATACTCAGTCATGAGTAACGTTGTGAATGTCGCGATACTCAGTCATGAGTAACGTTGTGAATGTAGCGATACTCAGTCATGAGTAACGTTGTGAATGTCGCAAATTTTAACAGTTTAAGAAACAGTCAGAGTTATTACAAAAGTAGAAAATCATTTAAGCTGTCTTATTTAAATCTCACGTTATATAGTATTAGTATTCAAAGGGTAAAGCACCTTGATTTTTAAAACACATCTTGTATGACATTTGTTCCAAACTGAAATTATTTTGTGAGAGACCGGCAGGTACTTTGATGAATAAGATGGGAGAACAATCGTACAACAAACATTATTACATTTAAGCAGAGTTTCTTCCCTTTTAATAAAAAGGTACTTTTGAAATTATATAGGGGTTGTATTATGAAAGAATTATCATTTTAATTAAACGTTTATTAATTGGATACTGTATTGTATGTATATTTCTAATAGCTGTCTATGTATTTACAGGATTCTGTGTTATACGGCTGGTCTGAATGGAACAAAGGAAGGGGAGTTTATAAAACGCTACGAGCCACAGAGGGGCACTATTTACGCCATAGAGTTTGATTCCAGCGGTATAGTTTTGTATATTTATTCATGAATTACCTTAAAGATGTACATGCATTATCTTAGGTTGTTAACTGTAAGTGAAGGTTCAAGTCAAAGCATCAGTGATATATTTACTGAGAGTTATGGTGCCGTATAACCATATAAAACTGTCATATAACTGGTACAGCTATCGTATATAACCGTATACATTTATCGTATATAGCTATATCCAGCTACAGTATGGCCGTATACTGCTATCGTAGAGCCGTATATAACTGTCGCATAACCGCATACAGACTATTACAATAATGTACATGTTTTTTTTTTGTTTGTTAGTCCCCTACCGGTTTTCCCTCCGCCCGTCTGTCCGTCCGTCTGTTCAATCCGTCTGTCAGTCCGTCCGTCCACAAAACTGGATCCCGCGATAACGCAAAAATGCTGATAATATTTTAATGAAACTTGAAATATGGATAGATGGCAGTATACAGATTATGCACGTCTTTTTCTTTTCTTCCTATGTTGATAATTACTTGTTATTTTTCAGTTCAATATGCTTGTTTGTCCACGTAAGCTATATTAAAAGAATAAAAAAAACATGTGGGTGTTGTTAATTTAACAAGAACCACACACTACACCAAGGATTGTTTTTCAAAATCTAATTTCATTCAAAGATAGTTTTTCTTTTTTAAACTTTGCTAACTCAAGATGCTTAACTTAACTGCACTGTTCATTTATTTATTTATTTATTTATTCCGCCGGTTTCAAAACATATTGGCTATGTGTCGGTGGTCGGTCCATCTAAGCGGCTTCCTGGATAACTAACCAGTAATTACCAATTTCTTCGCGAGTGACCGCCAACATATCCTAAATGATTCCAGAAACAGCAGTAAAAGATTACTATATTAGACGGACAGTTATCACAGAGAAATTTCGGCTCGCCCGAGAAATGCGAGAATCTAACCTGCGGTCCGAATCTAAAGAGCTTAAAGCTGCATTAAATATAATATGTTAACATATTTTTTCGTCTGCTTAAAAAACAAGCATTCTATAGTTTCGTTAACATTCTAACAGTATTGTTGTAAACCTTATTAAAAATTGTCCATAAACTATGATTTTTAAAGGAAACCCCCACGGTAACACTAAAGTTCGTATACGAATGAAGACTATAAAAAAATCTTTTTTATAGTTTTCGGTATTTATTTCCACAACTATGTCTGAATTTGCACAATCCTGCATTTTTTTAACAATTCTGCATTATGGGATATATACGACGCTTATATTATTGGTGCATATCGAATCAAAGTCAACTTCTGCATCTTTCTTTCCCAAAATATTACTTTCAGTGAGAGTATATATATAGAGTTAGTTCATATTTATTATAAGACCGTTTTTCTCATTTTTTCCCAGTTACTTTTACATTACAATTTGGATTGTGTATACCAGTACCAAGAATACGACTTGCGCTTCCATTCTAGACCACGTGCTTGCATGCGCTCTTATAACGGATGATGCTAATTAAGAATACACGGAAAGAAAATTCTTCCAAACATGGATGAAATTCAAAGAACATTTAAAAACAGCCATCATAAAAAACAACAACAACAAAACCCAACTTACATAACGTTGTAACTACATGTATTACTAATATTTATTCATAGAACCCTGTCTTTTACTTTCCTTTGAAAACATCGTATATTTTAATTATTTAAGAAATAGCCTGATCACCTATTTACCATGAAATTTATTATATATAAAGATAAAGTCTTCCGCTTTTATGATTAGAAAACATTTTTATCTTCCTCAGTATTTGTTTATATTATTTAAGTATAGGTTAGAGTGCATATTGGGTGTTCTTCGTAAATAAGAAAGCTAAAAAGGAGCGGAGCTTGCGAAGCTACTGTAGCTTTCTTATTTACGAAGAACATCCAATATGCACTCTAACCGGCTTAGTGCTCCGCCCACTTGCGTTTTATAATATAAAACGTCCAGTTTATATAAAAACTGTTCTATTAAGATTTGTAACCTGAAAATTTGAAAAATCCTCGTCGGTGATTGGCTTAAAAAAATTGGCGAGCACTTAATTAATATGTTATGTATTCATATATCAAAATAATGATCTTACCTTTCCCTACTCGACAAGTTCTGTTTTCATTTTCTGTGACTCAACAAGTATATTACCTGACCTTATTACATAATGAAACCCCACGAAATTCACGAGAATATTCAAATAACACCTGATTTGTGAACGAATTACAAGAGCGTAGCGGATGGTATCTTTGCTTGGCTTTGGAATGATTAAGTACATAAGAAGTATGTTTCTTGTGAGTAATATTAATAAATACTGAGCTAAAAACTGATGTATGGATAGAAAAAGAAAAGAGCATGTAGGTAAGATAGTTACCGCACTCGGTATAGGTCTGCATAGTATTTACAGACCCGGTGACCTTTTAAAAACCTCGATCGCTACGCTCTCTCGGTCTTCAAATCGCCACCCGGGTCTGTAAATACTATGAAGACCTATTCCTCGTACGGTAACTATTACTTGTTACCATGTGGATTACAGCAAATATGAGATATTCTTGTGCAAACAAACTTTTACCGTTTTAGTTTCACGGTGCATTAGCCCTGTCAATTACAAAAGAGTAACTCATAAAAAGATCAAATTTGAATGAAAAACATCCGTAATATAATGCGGAAATATACCGTTAAATTCGGACTGCTACTTAAAAATGTGTGTTGATTTTCTATTGATGTACGGATGACCCAAAGGCGGAGTTTCTCATGCAAATAGAATACTTCCGATTTCGCCACTATAAGGTTGGAGAATTTTAGGCTTATAAAACTCATTTTTGTTGTCTGGACACAAAAATAAGAGCGGGAGTCGATATGAAATACATTAAATGTAGCTATTTCTTTTTTTTATGAAATTTATTTAATGCAGCTTTAACATTACACTGTCCTAAACTGTACTGGTCGGTGATTTGCTTATCTGAATTTATGCCTTTTATTTCACTTTAATATTTCTGTAATATTCTATAGTTCAAGTAACTATAAATTATTCTGATGTACTATTTTATACCCCACTATTCCCTTTGATATTGCTTTTTTATATAGTTTACTGATTTTTTCTATGCTATGTTACAATTCACTTAAATTTACTTCTTTTCATTTTGCTTTACTTTCATTTATATTTTACGACATGTTTTAAAATTATACCGACACTCTTACAGATCGTCTTGCTACATTCAATTTTCGTTGACGAAAACAAATTCCAAAAGTGTCCATCTGTTCTCATTGATTTAAGTAATTTGAATAAAACAACAACATTCCAACAAGAACCATCGGTAGCCTTCTGGCTTCAAACAATTCAGAGTCCCTGTCTGAAATCGAACCAACAACTGTATGGACAAGTGAATCGATGTCCGTGACTTAAGCCACTCGGCACTTCCCTAGAGATTTTCCAATATATGACTTGTTTTTAATTTCAATATCATTTGAAATAATGTACCTATTTTCACATTGTTTTCATAATAAATCAATACCATTCTTTGTTGAACATGTACATGTTGTTGTTGGTTATGTTTTTCATAACAACGGATGTTCTCACGTAGGAACGATTAATTGTAATATAAAACAATATTTAGGTGTTAATTTAGGTAAAAATAAGTAAACAGACAATTGTTGGCTACTCCTAGTTTTAGGAATATTTAATTTTCAATAAAATAACAATATGTAATATCAACGTGTACGCGAATATTCATAGAGATATTCATGATTGAAACATATCACAGTATACTACATTGTAATAATTAAACGGTATAAAGTTATATATAATGAAATATTGCATACGTATAGATAGTATTATTACCCTTCCAGATTTTTTTCCGCCTTTTTGATTGGATATTGATCACCCGAAAGAAATTTGTATAACCGAGCCAGACGGGTAATATACACACTAAGTTTCCCCGTTGGGTACCCAACGTTGTAAACAACATGCGCTGAGGTGATGCGCGTACGGTTCGATTTTACGCGGTGTAAATTCCGAATTAAAAGCACTTTTTAACTGTCAAATGATAAATATTTACCAAAGAAGAGTAATGATACATATTACCATCAGTATCGAAAACAAATATGATATTGTGAAAGCTTGATATTAATTACAAAAAGGTGCGTTCAATAGACTACTCCTTTTCTCTTGTTTACATTCGTTAGGTACGGGAAAAATATGTCATGTATTTATGCAAACTCCTCACACTGATTACCTCCCTTGGCAGAATTGTAATCACTGCCTTCACAGACGTCACATGATGATGAAAGTCACATGACGTAACGTCGAAATTCAAATGTAAATATCGACCGTTACATAGAAAATCTAACGTCATTTTTCTCTTTCTGTTTTATTTTTAACTTTTTGTACGTACGTCCGTTATATTTTATCAAAAAATTATCAAAAGTATACAAAATAATGAAAAATAAATTAAAAAGCTAAAAAATATAAATATCCAAATATTGATATTTCAATGTGTGTGATGGCAGAGATCTCTGTACTGATAAGGGGAGATCACTGCGTAGGAGATTGGTATTTATGTGACGTCATGTTGTGACGAAGAGGTACCCTAAAGGGACTCTTATTTCGACGTTTCATTTGAAACAGCAATGATTTTTTTTTTAAAAATCGTCTAAACACGGCAGGGGAAGGGTAATAAAATTATTATTTTGGTTTTGGAGTGATATATGTGGATATATTTCGGAGTGATCACCACTACCCTTAGTTGTGCATATCGCCAGTACGTTCCACTTCGCTGAACAAAATGGCTGCCAGAGCTATAAATAGAAAAATATTGTCAGGCTTTCACAGATATAACTGCTGGTTTTCAATGAAACTTCACAGGAGTGAACAGTACCACCCCATTGTTGTGCATATAGCCGGCATGTTCCGCTTTGCTGCACTAAATGGCCGCCAGAGCTAAAAATAGAACAATCTTGTCCAGCTTTCACAGGTCAAGCTGCTGGTGGCATTAAAAAAGGCTACCAGAGCTAAAGAATAGAAAAATCCTGTCCGGCTATCACAGGTCAAACTTCTGGCGGGATTTCCACCAAAATTCAACCATACATAGTTTATGGAGACATAGGTTTTGTGACAAAAAAAACCTTCTAGTTATACTGCAAACTTGTTACGTCGCTTTTTCAGCCAATAGTCATGACGTTTAAATTATTAGTAATTAATATTTTTGACAGGTTATATGGCCTAGCGGCTCGAGTCATATTTCCAAACAACCGTTTATATACGGCAATATATTTATAACGAATTTACAATACAGCAAGCGTCTTTTTTGGAGAAAAAGTGAGATTCTTCATTGTTTCTGAGGTTATTTAAAAAAAATCAAATATATAGCATTTTACACAAGATAAAAAAGATAATAATTATCAAAGTTTTTTTAAATTGAATTTAATGCGATTTAAATGGATCTTTTTTTTTTATTATGTACAGGTAAACTGTTTGCTGTGAATGGTCCAGGATTCCCTGTCACGGAAGGATTTACATTAGATACGATGGGAAACATCGAGGAATTTTGGGGACCAACCAATAATGTAATTGTTTATCAATTCCATTTATTTGAAATCTATTGTATTTTTTTTATTTATTTGCAATATTCAGTTTGTTGCCATTTATTTACGAATCAAAGTCAGTAAGACTTATGTATGGTATCAGTTTTTACACTATAAGTTAATGTAACCTCATCAAGATTAAAATTGAAAAAAAAAATCTCTCTGAACAACCCTCGTTGAATACGTAATAGCCAGAGTATTTTATACTCTGAAAGAAAAACAAAACGATCGGTCGATTTACAACAGTTGCAATTATCAATCAGAACTTACCTAAAAAGCCGTTCAATAAAAGGAAAGTATGCATGCATACACACATGGGAAAAGAATTATGAAATAACCATTACTGTGATATAATACTTGCTGTTACTTACAGTAAATTATTGGAGCGAGCACATTTTTGATAAAAAATTATGTGAACTTTATTTGCATCTTTCAGGGCTTCCCGGGACAACCGCATGATGTGACTGTATCACGCGACGGCAGTAATGTATTTGTTGGAGATATTGAAGGGTCTCCAAAATTGTGGAGATTTTCAAGTACAGAAGTACCCGTAAAAACTGTTGGAAAATGAATTTGAAAAGATATTTCTTTAAAAAATAATAAACTAAAATAAAAAAAAAATAAGTAAACCATTTCAACATATTGTGACACTATTATATTTTGTATATATACATTTATTCGGGGTTGCCATACATAGACTCATGTGTCTGATTTATATTAAAGTAGGTCAGATTAATATTTAAGAAAGTTTATATTTGAGCTGAGTTATTTTCCCAAAAGTATCCAATTATAAGAAGAAAGTAATGAACTAAATTGGCATATTTATAAAACGATATAATATTCTCTTCAATGTGGAATCGATTTGTGAATTTTGCAGAAATCTAACTTATAGTGTTACCTAAAATACAATGTATTTACAAGTATAGAATCCAATATTTTATAGTAAAAACATTATATCTAACTTACATCTACAAGTATTACTTAATGTTAGTTTGTTTTTGTTTTGTTTCTTCTAATAATAATGCTAATTTGAAACTCATTTATTAAAGAACATCATTGTTTTTGCATAATTACAAATAAATCATTATTACTCTACTGGTATTTTATTTTTGAACCATGATTAGATTATAATACGATTACTCGAATATTGCATATCAAACATATGAAAAATCAACAAGGATACTAGTAAATACGTCATCGCGCACCTGATACTCTAAATATTTCTTATAATAAAGTCGTATTTTACCTTTATCTAGAATCAAAGGGCTGCAAGCTCTGTGGTATTTTCTGATCTTTGCAATCTAAATCGTACAGTATCTGTATGTATTTTCCTGTATAAGTTTATTTTGATATACTATTATTCATCTTGCAGGGCACCGAGTTGCAGCGACTACGTTTAGGTTTTTTTGCTATAACATTTTGAGTTTGATACATACAGAATTTTGCATGACCAGAGTTTCTAACTTGCATTATGAAATCATTTATGTACATATTTATGACAGCCACACTTTATCCTCGCATATCGTAGCTAATTCTTAAAAACAGAATGTTTAAATCGCTAAAAATACTTTTAAAAAAGTTAAAAAAGAAAACAACATGAGTTGCCTTGACTGGGATTTGAACCCCATACCTCTCGCTTCTATAACGAGCTCGTAACCCCTGGGCCACGGGGACGTCTGAAGCAAACCATATCATCCTAAATAAGGAATTGTAATCCTTATTAATTTCGAGGTAAACCTGTTGTTTGACACTGATGTAAATAATTTAGCAAAATACTTCTCGCCCAAACAGTCCGACATGTATTGTCCAACAACATTGACCTGGCACTCTTGAATTTGACCCTGTAGTCGGTATATTCCGTAAACGTTACGATGTACTTAATTAATTGTAAATCGATATACTTTAAATGTAAATGTCCAATTGTTAAAATGATGTAAATTAAAAAGCCCCTTTAGCGCAGTTTGTAAAGGGGTCTCACTTGAAGAATGTAGACGTATACTGGTAGGTTCGAATCCTATTTCAGCGATTTGATTTTTTTTTATTTAATTTTATAATTGCCATTCTCTTAAAACTATTGCTAACATATTCGTTGTGTGTACTATCAGTGTTGTATGTAATAATTTTAATAACTGCCTTTATAGCATGTATGCGCTAAAGCATATACGATTGCTTAATGACACAAAGGGAACCGTTGAAAGATAATGTACAGTAATGAAATATAAAAATATAATTGTGTATAAAAGCACCACTTAAAATGCCTTCTAAAACCAGGTGTAGTAAAGCGATTTCAAGTCAATTCTTGCAAATAAATTAAAAATAATAATAATATTGTGGTGCTGGTAAGGAATCGAACCAGAGACCTTTAGATTGGTAGTTCGACATCTATACCAATACACCACACGTCACTGACAAGAGAAGTATATAATATATCGATATATTCGATAGATACTGGTCAGTTATTATTCAAATGACCTTTACGAAATTTAATGAAGTGCCAGGTCAATATTGTTGGACAATACTAGTATATAATATGTGTAAAACGCGCTGAAGTGTGGCTAAAATAGCGTTTTGTTTACGTGGATTAAATTATCGGGTACTTAAAATGACATTATACTCATATTTTCATTGTCAAGTTAAGCTGAACTGACTATATATTTCAAAAGATTGACTGTTAAAATGGTGATTCACCAACAGTTCATATTGGAAAATGTTTAGGATAAAATTTAAATTTGCATATAATATAAAAAGACTGCCCCACTCTTTTTACGAAATGAACGTTGCAGGTAAATTCTAGCGGATATTCACGAAAATTACATTTGAATCCATGCGTGTTATTGTTAATGTGAAATTATTTTTTTATATTGAAAGGAATTATGGTAAAATGAAAATTTATTTTGACATTCACTTGTTCACTCATTTATACCATTGGTTACGAGCTCGTTATAGAAGCGAGAGGTATGGGGTTCAAATCCCAGTCAAGGCAACTCATGTTGTTTTCTTTTTTAACTTTTTTAAAAGTATTTTTAGCGATTTAAACATTCTGTTTTTAAGAATTAGCTACGATATGCGAGGATAAAGTGTGGCTGTCATAAATATGTACATAAATGATTTCATAATGCAAGTTGGAAACTCTGGTCATGCAAAATTCTGTATGTATCAAACTCAAACTGTTATAGCAAAAAAACCTAAACGTAGTCGCTGCAACTCGGTGCCCTGCAAGATGAATAATAGTATATCAAAATAAACTTATACAGAAAAATTGGGCATAATGTCACTTTAACTTTAAGACAGTTACTTATGGTAGAAATTGATTATCAATCGTCGACTGCCTAAATTTGTCCCTTCCTAGAGTCAACATCCTTACTTTTTTTCAGAAAGTCCAAAAATCAAATGTTCATTAGGAGATCACAATAATCTGAAGCTTTACGAAATTAGCCGAGCAATTTTCATTGATTAAAATGATATTCATCCGCGTAATTTGTGAGTGTGCATTTATTGTCAATTCTATAAGACAAAGCTACTTTAAAACTTTGAATGCGTTATAATTCGCTGGATACTTGTAATAAAGTAAAACTATGTCTTTTACATCGCTAGTTTTAAACTGTTTTGGGAACTAACTTTTGTTGTTAGGAGATTGTTTCCTGAGATTGAAATTCCTGATCTGCGATCAAAAAATACAAAAATGGTCCGAGTGGGAGCATGCAGCAGGTGCTCGATGACGTTGTATCCTACTGTTAGAATCGATTTTATGTTAAAGTGGTCTAAACAATTACTTGGTTTCAGAATGATTTTACTTTACATCGTCTTCTTTTGGTACTAGGAGTATGTGTTCATACGAGCATGGTTTAGTCAGACTTGGCGTCCGTGGTCGATTGGTTAAGGTTGCTAACATCGAACCACTTGCCCCTTACCGCTGTGGGCTCGAATCCCGTTAGTAACTGCACTATTTCATGTGAAGAAGCTATATCCTGACAAGACAAAAACAACAAAACAACAAAAAGATCGACTTTAAGGTGAACCGAGGAGACACCAGGAGCCAGTTAATGCATGAACAGAACGGACGACAGATACAATAGGATAGTGGAATGTTTACTAGAAGGACAACTGTCATATCTTTAAATGATTATTTTAATGATTCAAAATTTTATTCAAACCAACAGCGAATGATTGGTTTGTAACTTAAAATTTTATGCCGCGCCACAATGAGTATTGTTTACTCATTTTGACTGAGGTAAAAATTGTTAAAACAACAAATGACATGTTCGTCATTCTGATTTTGATATCAAAATATGAAAGAAGAAAATGTAACTTTCCGTATCCGGCTTGCCTCATTTCTATATCGACAAAAATTGATGGTTACAATGTATACTCGTATGTAACAATTGTTGAATTTGTTTCTTAGTTGATCAATTATAAGTAAAAACATTGATCTTCTTCAGTCATTATCTGTTTTCAATAATGATTAGCAATCAAGTATATTAGAGTGGGAAAGTGACCTAGCATCCCATGTGCCTATTTGATGTATTCTAATACCGTATTATAATCTCAGTTTGAACTTTCGCTTGTCGTTCTTTTCCTTAAATTTTACTCACAATAAAACCAAATCACACATTTGTGTTGGTTGAAATAAAAGTTGTTGATTGAAGCACGCAGACCAATTTTTGCCTTTCAACAGCAACTGTTCTTATGTTGTTCTGACCAAAAATCCGCCATCCCATATATATTGTTAGCGAAATAATATTAAACTGAACATTTTCACAATTCGCCAACACGCCATAAGTATCCAACAGTTTGGTATGTAATGAAACTTTAGCTTTTAAAATCACACAGGTCTTCCTTATTTGATTTTTTTTGTTAAGTCCGTGGGAGATTGATAGATCCCTACTCTGACATTTTATTTGAAACAATAGATCTAACCACAAACATTGACATGTGCTGTTTTGTTAACAAAATGTAGTGGTTAAATTCTCATGGAAATATACTAATCTGATAGAATAGGACAGGTTAGGGATCTATGCATTAGTTAATGTCGTTGAATTTTAACTACTTGCCCCTCACCGTTATAGGTACAAATCCCGCCAGATGCAAGTAAGGAGGGTTTTTTTATTTATTCAGCAAGAAAGAAGTATTTATGACTAAATTTGTTAGCAGTATAAAAATCATTCAATCATCTAAAAAGAAGAGTTCTAAACAAAATTTGAACAGACAAAGATATGATCCCGATTCTGTTTTTACTTTTATTGTATACACTTAAACAACTTATTTTTTAAACGATTGTAGAATCATATGAGTGGTGATATATAGAGTTCCATATCATTAACCACATCTTATGTGACAAGGTTCATAACTCTAGCACCAATATTTTAAGATTTATCTCCCCTTGAACTTGGAATTTTCCTTTAAAAAATACTATTTTTTACTGTTACTCATTTATTTCTTAAGGAATCAACTTCATACTTCAAATATATGTACCTTATCATCAACCACATGTTATGTGACAAGGTTCATAACTCTAGCACCAATATTTTCAGATTTATCTCCCCTTGAACTTAGAATTTTCCTTAAAAAATATTATTTTTACTGCTACTTCTTTATTTCTTAAGGGATCAACTTCATACTTCAAATATATGTACCTTATCATCAACCACAAGTTATGTGACAAGGTTCTTAACTCTAGCACCAATATTTTCAGATTTATCTCCACTTGACCTTAGAATTTTCCTTAAAAATATTATATTTTACTGTTACTTATTTAATTCTTAAGGGATCAACTTCATACTTCAAATATATGTACCTTATTATTAACCACATGTTATCTGACAAGGTTCATAACTCTAGCACCAATATTGCAAGAATTATCTCCCCATAAACTCAATTTTTTTTACTTGAAAAATATTATTTTTTACCATAACTTTTTTAGTTTTAAAGGTATCTACCTCAAACTTCAAATATGTATTCCTTATCATCAATTACATTTTATGTGACAAAGTTCATAACTCTTGAAACAATATTTACAGATTTATCTCTCTTTGAACTAAGGATTTTCTTTAAGAAATATTATAACTTCTTTATTTTTAAGGTATCTACTTCAAACTTCAAATATATATTTCTTATTATTACACACATGTTGTGTGGCAAGGTTCATAACTCTAGCGTGACTATTTTCAGAATTATTCCCCTTGATCTTGGAATTTATGTTAACAATGTTATTTTTTTACTATAACTTAATACATAATTGATTTTTTTCGTAGTTTTGTCTTCCTTACTGCGTCTAGTATTTTATTAGTCGAGCTTCGCTGTCTCCTGTGACAGCTCTTGTTTAGAGTATACAAGAAATAGTGTGAGGTTTTGAATCGTTTCTTGAAATCTTTTTATTGATTGATTGATTGATTGATTGATTGATTGATTGACATTTCTTCATTTAGTAAGCGTTTCTACAGGATGAAAATGTGTAAGATCGGAAACTTACACAAAGTTTCTTCTGGTGTTATTTGTCCCCATGATTTTACTGTAGAGGAGCAAAATGTCGACAACATTTCAGATGTTCACATTTATTTTGACCACTTAAATAGAACTGTCGCAAAGCAAAACTAAAATCTACATGAGGTACATATTTTATCCAGAACGTATGCTTATACATGCCGACCAAGCTATCTGCTTACATATTTCTTTCCAAAAACAAGATCTGGGACAAATTATTTTATAATATATATTAATGAAGAACGATGACATTTATTTATGTGATAATATTCACGAAATACAAAACAAAAAACACAATGAAATAAACTTCAACACAATAATAAGAAAAAATGGAAGTAACCGAAAGAAAACATGTAGTATAAAATGCCATAATTCACCGAACCACGACCATTTCCTTCCTGAATAGCTTTCAATCTTAAATGTCAAAAGATTTGCATTATAAGAGAAGTTCACATTTGAGCCGCGTCATGACAAAACCAACATAATAGGTTTGCGACCAGCATCGATCCAGACCAGCCTGCGCATCCGCGCAGTCTGATCAGGATCCATGCTGTTCGCTTACAAACCCTATAACAAGTAGAGAAACTGCTAGCGAACAGCATGGATCCTGATCAGACTGCGCGGATGCGCAGGCTGGTCTGGATCCATGCTGGTCGCAAACGCATTATGTTGGTTTTGTCGTGACACGGCTCATTTATCCAAATAGATGCATTTTATTTGTCTTCTCAGTTTTTGCAATATTACAAAGCAGTAACCCAGATTTCATTATGGCGAACTATAGAATATGGTCCGTCGTATTCCATCGTAAAAAAGCGGTCGTCATGGTATTTCTTCCCAGCAGCGTTCAGATCGTTTATAAATTGTTCAAGATTTTCTCGCTTCTTGTCGTCTGAAGTGAAACCCCCATATTGTCTGAAACAAAAATCTTCTATTTAGTGCTGTAAAAATACGAAGGAATGATTTGCCATTGCAGATAGCAGATTCTTTAGTTCTTATCCGTTTTCTAATTTGCTCTAAGGGACAATGTATCATTATTGCCATTCATGTAGAAAACTAGCAAAATGTTAACACTACCCTTTCCTTTGAAATATGCATTATCACTTGGTAAAACTTTGCGAGCCTCTATGGTAAAAAATCTGGACTGCGCCTGTTGTTTAAAAGTACATTATGGCCTTATGGTCTTCACTAGTAACCATGATTTCAAATTGCTTAGTGTCTATATTTTCTCTTGTTAATTGTACAGCTTTGTTAAATCTGGATATGATATAATTTTATTTTCATAGTGTAGTTGTGTTTGTTCTCTTATTTGTGCCATAACAGAGGCTATTTCTGTATTTGGACATCTGTGGTGATGTAATTCTGTTGAATATCTAGTGTACAAAATCAGTTAAAATCGTTTTATTATGCCCCCTTCGAAGAAGAGGGGGTATATTGTTTTGCTAATGTCGGTCTGTCTGTCTGTCGGTCTGTCGGTCTGTCCGTCGGTAGACCACATGGTTTCCGCTGATTATCTTGAAAAGTATTTATCACAAAGTCTTCATATTTTACATAGTGGTTGGTCATAACTAGTAGATGACCCCTATTGATTTTGGGGTCACTAGGTCAAAGGTCAAGGTCACAGGGACCTTAAATGTCAAAATGGTTTCCGCTGATTATCTTGAAAAGTATGTATCACAAAGTCTTCATATTTCACATAATGATTAGTCATAACTAGTAGATGACCCCTATTGATTTTGGGGTCACTAGGTCAAAGGTCAAGGTCACAGGGGCTTTAAATGTCAAAATGGTTTCCGCTGATTATCTTGAAAAGTATTCATCACAAAGTCTTCATATTTCACATTGTGATAGGTCATCACTAGTAGATGACCCCTATTGATTTTGGGGTCACTAGGTCAAAGGTCAAGGTCACAGGGGCCTTAAATGTCAAAAGGGTTTCCGCTGATTATCTTGAAAAGTATTCATCACAAAGTCTTCATATTTCACCTAGTTATTGGTCATAAGAATTAGATGACCTCTATTGATTTAGGGGTCATTAGGTCAAAGGTCAATGTCACATGGGCCTTAGATGTCAAAATGGTTTCCGTTGATTTTTCCATAATTGAACACTTCCATGTACCCATTTTTGGCAAGTTTCTTTAATAAAATTACCAATTATGTGAGTCAATGGCTAGAAAGGGGGGTATATGTGTCGTTCGACATTCTTGTTTTAATACTTGACATTGTTCTTATTTCTAACTAGAATAATATTTGTACAGATTTGCTGTTTTAACACTTGGCTTGCCTGCTACAGTTGATTCTAACAATGTAGACCAAGTTCAGCCGGCATATCAATACCGTCTAACCATGGTCTACATTGTTGCTATTCAGTCACTATAAAAATGTTCATAAATTTCTCCCGAAACGATAAATGAGCCACGTCACGACAAAACCAACATAGTGCGTTTGCGACCAGCATGGACCCGGACCAGCCTGCGCATCCGCGCAGTCTGATCAGGATCTATGCTGTTCGCTATCAGTTTTTTTTTTACTTGTAATATGGTTGGTAAGCCAATAGCATGGATCCTGATCAGACTGCGCGGAGGCGCAGGCTGGTCTAGATCCATGCTGGTCGCAAATGTACTATGTTGGTTTTGTCGTGACGCGGCTCAAATGTTTGTGTCCAAACTAAAAGATGGACTAGATATTTATCGAGGTAGTAGACAAATAAATAAATATTCAAATATTATAAATGCCTTACTTTACATAACGAATAGCCTCTGGAAAATGTTTGAAAAAGACACCAGATTCGGTGGGCTGTGGTGGGTTGTTTTGCAGAGCAAATGGTATCATAAAGTGCATGGTGAAGTTGCTCTCACAGTCAGGTCCCGGGCCATGTAGTACCTCAGTAACGACCGGTGTGGTCATTGCAATTTTCATACCTTAAAAAACAACAGAACAGTTAGGTTCATACACTTGCTTATAGACCTTTTTATAATTCGTTAATTCCATGGCAATGCGAAAGATATCATGTGTATACTAGGCAAATCCAAAATAGATGTAGCACTGTAAGAATTAATTTAATTAGCATAAAACGTACCATTGACCATTAAATTTGTCCAAATAAGGTTTTATTGCCCGTCTAGAAGATTTTGAAAAAGTGATGAAATTTTAGAATAATTAACAATAACATACTTCTTTTATATTTATGACGTATTACTAATATAATTGTTAAACTCACCTCTAGAATTATTTCCTGATATATAGTGAAACAACTTAAAGAACATTTCCCTGCTTTCTTTATCTGTGTAGTAAAATGCAACTGTTTCTGTCGCTACCCACATACTGGGCTTGTATCGTCGCACTTCAAATTTCTGTAATAAAGTTGTCATAATTATATAAATATTTTATCCGATATGCACTTTTTCTTTTTAAAAAATTTAAAAATTGGTGTACTTCAACTTAAAGTATTCCTCTATGGATTTACTCAGTCAAAATATTTTTGTAAACATCGTCACAATTCGTGTCACGCAATAAATCATAGCTCCTGGACACATATATTTTACCAAAAAGCATTTTCTTAAGCCTGGGAAACAGAAAGAAATCACAGGGAATTTCGTCAGGAGAATAAGGCGGATGTTTTACAACTTCAACATTTCAGACAACAAGAAAAACTTAACAATCTCCTCTTTGTAAGAGGAGGCATTGTCATGTATAAGTGGGACTCTTAACCATACTTTGATTGGACCCTTCTTATTGTTAAACACCTTCATTTTTGTTTCAGTACATAATTCTTGTAGAAATGTCCAGTGACTGTGTGATCAGATACAAGGCATTTGAATGACTGGTCCATTGGCATTAAAGAAAATCGCATACAAAATCTTCTTTGTATGATGGTTCTTTTGGCAATAAAAGCCGTTTAGATCATTTCGCAACCACTGTTTGTCGTGAACCAATCTTTGAGGCTCAAACATATGCACGCAAGCTACAAGTAAGAAATAACCCATCACAGTCTTAGTTCTTGGGCAAACTTAAGGCGCTGTTTCTTTTGCTCCTTAGTGAGCTTTCAAGCTTAATGCGACTTTTTATGTAGCTTCAAATTCAGTTTTGTTGTCCATTATACATTATGGTCAGTAAATTGGTCAATGTACATATTGATTAAGTACATAACTTTTTGAATGATCCTCGTTTACGTTAAGAAAATTATCAATCCTTCAAAATGGTACATTTGAGGTATTACTTACGTCATTGGTCTCGAGAACTTCGTACTCGGGGCAGTCTAAGTCATGACAGAAGGCGGGTTTCTGAAAAACATTTGTCGTCTGATGTGTGTTGTCCAGTCCTGGCAGGTTGAAGGAATTCAATAAAAACCCAGACTGGACTGATGTCCCGACACACATAAACAAAATGGCAATCGACAACATTCTGAAATAATTAAAATATCAATGAATTTGTTGAAGATGATGTCAACTATTGCTCTGTACTTTCAACTTTGACAATTAATAAATAAATCGTCGCGCAAAATAAACGGTATCTTCAATTATGTCAAATATTTCTACAATTAAAACACAGCACTGCTGACTTTGTTTCAACCATTTCATTAAATCAGTTTCGTTTTAGCAAAACTTGGACCTGTTTATAAAACAAAAACACAAATGTATTTCTTTTTCACTTCTTGATTATGTTCTTCTCGTTGAAAGGGTCGAACATTTTATTGAATGAGTCGAAATTGCAAGACATTGATGACCATAACGCAACACCATACTACAGGTATATGTTAACGCTTCATTCCATACTGCAACTTTCTAGTTTAGTCTTTGATTGGTTTTGATGCATGCTAAGCGAAATATACAAAAGCGTTTGAGTTATGAAGTTCAATTTCCGATCCAATGTATATATAATAAACATGACGAAGGATAGAGATCCACTCGGCAAAGCGACATATCAAGTATTCAACCTTTGTGTAATTTAGTTTTCCACTTGAAGACATATATTTTTATATAAAAGTCTAAAACGTTTGTCTATAAAAACTGACCCCTGGACGGGCATATATGACCCAAGGGTTAGGAATAATGTTTCCCTTTGCAGATAACCCATAGGTGATTTATCCAAAAAAAAATCTTGTAATTTCTCATTTTGGTATTCTTTATGTAATACTATATTCATATTGTTATTGCTATAGCGAAACAAAATAGAGAAACTTGTATACGGGATAGTTATTCTGATGATTCTCATAGGACCATGATTTATCTTAACTAACTTCTTTTTCACCATAATATAACATGATACTATGTCAGTCCAGTTTATCATTTGCTCATCATTAAAACCAGTAATACGATATACTCTTTTGATGAAAACATATTCATATGAAAATAACACATTTTTTTATGAAATATAACATTACACTTTTACAAATTAAGATCCGTGAAGACACCTTCTTAAACCATGTCCCGTATGAACCAACTGCACAAAAAGGTGCACAGCAAAGACCATTAACAGTGTAGTTTTTTGTTGTTGTTTTATTTATTTATTTTTATTTATTTATTTATTTATTTATTTATTTATTTATTTATTTACAATTTATTTATTTATTTATTTATTTATTTTATTTATTTATTTATTTATATTGTTTTTTGTTTTTTGTTCTTCCTTTCCTTTTGCTCACAAATCCATATAGGACATTCTCTTGAGAATATTGACAATTCTTGAGTCAACAATTAATAAATATCGTTATATCAGTTTACCTTAAATTGTAATTGTTATAGAGAGTCAACTCCCACTTAACTTAAGCTTACCTTTAATGCAAAAGCAAAGCAAGGGTATTCTTTATGTAATACTATATTAAATGACCTTTTCTATTCCATATCATTGCAAAATCATTCTATGCAATTTGTTTTTGCTTTCCCTTTTATGTTTCTCAAAATTAGGCGAATGGCAATTCGGACTTTTAAATATTCTTATTGATTTGCAAAACTGGTCTTATAAAAGGAATCATAATTATTTGGCAGCAATGTATTTTATCACCATGATTCATATAATGGTCTCAATGGCCTACCATGTACCAAAAGGTAAATGTTACAAAACCAAAATTTTATACATTTAAATTGTATCATTCGTTGAAGTACTGAATTCAAAATCTATAAGTCACCTATTGGCAGAAAACTGTTTATAACTTAAAGACATGAATGGTGACACATCCGGGGTCCGTGTAAGGGGAATGAACCCTGATTAACTTATAATTCATTTATCCGTACGCATACAGGTGATGATCTGGACTTCCTGAGAAGCTATCTTAAAGTATATTTTAAGCTTTAGTTACTTTTTCCATCAGGCTAGAGGACCACAAAAGACCCGCGCCTGCGAAGTTTGTTCAAAATTCACTTTATTGTTATAAGAAACTGCAAAGCTGCAAGTGTTGTATATTACATAAATGCCGATTCAAATGTTTTACTCTTATTGATATTATGAAAGTTCATGACCTTTCAGAATTTTCTGATCACTGTCCAATTTCATTTTCAGTTTCATATGTTGATAACAAACCTATTGCAAAGGAAGATATAACTTAAGACAAAATAGTATGGGAAGATACCGATAGTGATAAACTTGATTCAATATTGAATGAATATAAAAATTCTTTTGATGAAATTACAAATAATTTATTGTGTGATACCATTGATATTGATACTTGTATAAACTTGTTTTCTGATTTAGTTTTTGATATTTCATTCAAAGTGAATGGTAAAACTATAAAAAAAGAGTTCAACAAGAAAACCTTCCAAACTTAAAACGTCATAATGGTTTGACAATGATTGTATTTAATAGGTGCAAACGATTATTTAAAGATGATCCGTCAGACCGCAATAGAAATTTGGTTTTGAATGCAAGAAGCATCTTTTGTGCGAGTAAGCGCAAAGCCAAAAAGCAGTATTTTTATCAGGAAAAGAAAACGCTTTCTAAGTTGAGCAAGACTAATACTAAACAATTTTGGAAATACGTTAAAAAATATAAAACTAAATCGAGTAATGCAAATCATGATGTTAGTTTACATGAATTTGTTGAATACTTTAGTAATATGTCTAATACACAGCCAGAAAATGTTTTTAACCCTGAACATTTTTCTAAAAGAACAGATACGGTACAGATTGAGAGTCTAAATTGTAAATTTAGTATTGATGAAATACGTAAGACAAAAGCATGTTTAAAAAGGCATAAAAGCTGTGACATTGATAACAATGTAACGGATTTTTTTCATAGATTCTAAAGATTATATAGCTCCTTATCTTGTAAAACTTTTTGATAATATATTTGATAAAGGTGAATATCCCGAATCTTAGAGTAAAGGCGTTATCATTCTTATCTTTAAAAAACGGGGATCGTAAGGTACCTTCAAATTATAGAGGGATTACAATTGTCAATGTTTTAGCAAAGATATTCTCATAGGCATTAAGAAACCGCATTAATAAATGGTGTGAAGAGGAAAACGTTTTTAATGAATCCCAATTTGGTTTTAGAGATGGGTGGAGTACTGCTGATTATGTGTTTATATTGCATAGTATTATTCAGAAAATATTTTTTTAAAAATCTTAACTTTACAGTGCGTTCATCTATTATGAACATGCAACATGAAATAAAGTTTCAATTACTTTTAGGAATAATTGGCTGATAATTATACATGCTTTACACATTGACTGCTATGCCGGCAATCTATGATTTCAAAATAGACACCTTTTTAACAAATATAAGTAAAGTGCTTTTAAACAAATTAATCTATATCAGGTATCTGAGATCCCAAATGTCTTACATAAAACCTGCACATTTTAATTTACCATAAGATGTTAAAGTTTTTTTTTATTTTGATAGAATAGCATTTGTGTTAACCTTTATGGACACTGGGTCATTTTATAATTTGAATGCCAAGAGTCAAGGTCAGTATGTAAATATTTTAAATATTGCCTGTCATCTTCACAGGTCAGCGACTATGTCTCTGGGCCCGCATGTCGTATTGTACCCGATTTAAAATAGAAAAAAAAACACCAAAAAACAAAAACAGAATCCCTAAAAACGATCAAAAAGGCAAAATTGAAATCGATGTAGGCTCGATTTGATTGGGCCTGTATATGGACGGTACTGGAAATTGCAAGTTACCGTTCTAGCACTCTAGCACCGGCCTAAGCATCATTCATATATCAAAGGGGGAAATTGTGAAATTTGGAATTTAGAAACATCCGCAGATGTGTTTACACGTTTTTTTTATTGTTGTATTGATATAGCTACTTACAGTCGTGAATCGTCAATATATTAGAAGCATAATTGGCATCAATTAACTGTCTTATCTTTTATGCATGTACCATCATCAAATACCACATTTCCTTGTTAAACTTGCTTTCAATTTTTTAAATTGAAGTTACGTCAATATCCACCCAATGAATGACAAATTTCATGACAAAACATTTCCTTCAAAGTATTTATAATTATTTTATATGAAATGAAATATGACCTTTAATGTCATTGTCGGAACCCACGGTACACATTCCGTATAATTATACTACATGTATACGGTAAATAACCTTGATTACCGAGGATGCTTTAATGTCTGAAATCTTACTTTATGCGACAATTCTTTTCTCACTCAAGACAAATTGTTTCAAAATACCACGTATTTATTCTTAGCTCTCGCTATATAACACATATGTGGACTGGACATGGCCACCAATGCACTCTCATAATATGACTTTTGAAATACAAGTGTGATCTTGGACCATTTGTACGCTACATGTCGTCTTACAAAGAGGCGCCATATGTACCCCAAATGATTTTTTAATTCATCCATGAATGACAAAATCGTTAACCAGACATTTTAGACACTTTAAAGAAACATTTTGTTTGAAGTGAAAGTATGATTTTGGTCTTTGATTTACATCATCAGCTGGGTTTTACATGTGACTCATTATCCCAATGTGCCATATATTTATGCAGAATTTTTTCAAAAGGCATCAATTAATGAGAAAGTTATAGATCGGACACAACCATCGTGTCACGTTTATATCATGATTTATGATATAGAAGTTTAACTGTAGACATAAACATGCTTGTGCATGACACGATCTTTTAAAATTACACATTTACGCAAAGTTCCATACAATTTTAGGTCAGATAATTTAATACCACATGATAACAAAATAGACGACAAAAGTCTTAAAACAGGGGCCTCAAACAACATGTTCTTGTCGGACTACCTAAGCGAATGCAATACTATCCTCATGCACGAAGCTCGGCACTAGTATGTAGGGGCTTCTATTGGATAAACACTATGTGGAATATTTCTCTTACAAGAAGAAACATTAACTCTATTATTCAGGAAAGGAGTATCTTCCATGAAAAAAAAGTTTTCGAATGCCAGCCTGGATAGCGATTCCTATAGTCCTTTTGGAAATACTAAGACTTTTTTGGATATCAATTCGTGCATGAAATATTGTTGACATTGTTCCCCACTAATGAATGTTTACAAAATTGTCTTTCTTGATAGACATGACCCTGATCGTTGGACTGTTGAATTGGCTCTCAAGTACCATATGTCCCAGTACATGTTCTTGTGCAATTGACATTGACCATGAAAATTAACCAAACAATTTTTATGGTATCCCTGTTTGAAGATAAGGTAATAATGTTAAGTACATCACTTCCCAATCCGTTATTATACCGTATATTTATGCTTAACTATTTCAAAATACATCTCTGAATGACAGAATACTAAAATGCACGTCTTTTTTCAAGCACTTTAAAGTCTTACTTAACAAACCGAGCCTGCAACATTTTCAATTTTGCCGTGTTGAGCTTTCTTTAGGGATTCTGTTTTAATCTATTTTTTGAGGAGTTGAGCTTCAAACCTGTGTCTCTCTTATGACATTGTCTCAATGTGCCACACATTAATGCAATTTATTTCAAAATCTATCCAAAAAATGACAGATATGGACAAGATTAAAAACGGACAGACGGGGACAAGCTCTTACCGAGAGATTTGTTAAGATGTCTGTGATCTTCATAATTGTTTCTAACTCCAAAAGCAGCCTTTTGTTTCCCTTAACCAATGATTCATCCTATAGGTCGGGTGTATACAGAATTAATCCAAACGCCAAATTGTGATCGCAAATACCCCTATAACTGACACAAGAGGACGCTCGGACTGATAGACAGACGGACAGACATTTGAGCAGGTCCCCCATCAGTGCGATACAAACCCAATTTAAAAATATTGCAATAATTTTAAGAACATGCATTGTATTCTTAGAAGTATAAAAATTACATCTAAATGCCAAAGTGAACGCAAACATGACTCTCATTTACGTTGAATAACGGCATCTTTTTGCACCATAAAGTTTGTAGTTTCAATGGATGTTTTTCAAAGTCTGCACTTGTAAGTCTTAATTAGTATCACTGCACTTCAAATAAAAGAAAACAAGCCAAGTAAAATGCATTCTTGTGCTTGTTTACTTAAATAATGATACAGTGTATAAAACACAGGAAAATTGCAGCCATTTTGTAATTCAAGATGGCTGTCGCAATAAATTTTGTTGTGTTAGGATCTATTCTTCTCGTTCACACTTCAGCAGACTAAAATTGCAAAAAGTCTTAAATTAAAATGCCAAAAATGTGTTTATATCTCGCCCATGGGAGAATTAAAGTAAAAAATGAAAAATCAATGGTGGCCATTTTGAAACTGATTTTAAAAGGTCAAGGACTAAAAATAAGAAATGTTGCAAAATTTACTTCATGTGCTATAAAGTTAAGAGCAGAATTGCTTGCAAATATGTCTGCTCCTTAAAATATCTGTTTAAATTACTTCCGAGTTATAGAAATATTGTTAAAATATTCGTTTGATGTATATATGTTTTTGTATGTTATACATGTATTTATACAATTGTATATATTTCTGTTGTCTTGGCCATAATGAAAGTTGTTGTAAATGGCCAAAGGCATTTTCTCATGCCGATTTAGCCAAATAAACTGTAAACTGTAATAAACTGATTTGATGACGCCATGAATGCAGGTCGTTGCATGGTACAAATTTGTAAAGATGACTGAAAACAACGAAAAAGAACTAAATGGAAAGAAAATCCGTTTAGTGTTTCGAATGAGATTTCGACAAAACAGAAATAAGGTTTGTACGACAGAGAAAGGGAAAAACTGTCAAAAGTTCTGAACTTTATAATAAAAGATGAAATTTCTCGCATTTTTAACAACGTAAATAGGCATTTCTGTAAACACTTATGAATTGTCAATTAAAACTTGTGTACGTTTTGCTTTTGAGAAAATCAATTCCGGCGTGGTTCCGAATTAAAATTGCCAGGAAACCAATCCAAATGCGATATTGAATATTTAATAACTATTGTCATTGATTTATATAAGCTTATAACAAACACTTACTTAAACGCTAATGATATTATACGAAATGACTTTCATGACATCTATCCTATATTCTAATTCGTATTTCAAAACAATAAACACATTTTCAGCGTGAAACAATCAGATTTTTAATGAATATAAATACAATAGTCTGAGAGTAGATTGGCTTAAAAGGAATATATCTGAATTGTCTAATATTGCATATTTATGAACATTTATTTTGTTTTCCGTTTATACATGTATTCTATATTTATTTACGTATATGGCTAGCTAGTCTTATTACAAACGTAGAAAATATATACAATGTTTTATGTCTTACCTAAGAGGCAGCAGTGTAAACAATCGCTTTATGTCAGAGAATAAAACTTCTTAATTGTATTTGTACACTGATTAAAACAGAACATTGCTTTAATGGCGTGAGATAAAATAATTTATGTAACTGTGTTTAACCTGTCCTATTTACTATGTCACGTGATATAACACGAGGATAGAAATATGTGACAGTTCACACAGACGAAACTAACGGTGCCTCTATATAATCTGTTGCAATTATGTTAACATAAATAATCAAAATTTTAATACTAAAATGTATTTGTCCAGCACGGAAACGGTCGTCGTACTTGTCTGTGACTTTTGCTATCTCTTTTAAACACGTGTGGTATTAACCTGACACACAAACTAACGAATGTTATTGTGTTTTGGACTACCACTTTAAACTCAAGCTTCGTCAAATTTAATTAGAAGTCGCATAAAAAATAGAGGATATTTAATGAGTGTAGGTTCAATATAGAATTTATTGGACAAGTTGAATAAAATTATACAATGAAAGTCTCTGACGAGCATAATATTATTTTATTCCACGAGTTCATTAAAAAATAAAAATGAACCTTCACATTTTTACATACCTTAATAAGAACCATTTTCTTTTAAAACAATGCAAAGCCACATTAAGAAAATGCAACCAACGACAAAATACAGCCACACTGGACTACCGTAAAGGCATTCAGTAGGGCACCGAACAAAAAGCAGGAGAGGACACAAAGGACGGGGCATAGTGTGGTTGTATCAATACATGATAATAAATTACAATTAAATAAACAAACCCCTCAATGTCAAAGCCATTTAAAACATTTTTAAAAGCAAGTGAAAAAGCACAATTGCATGTATAAAATTTTCAAGGAACATATGTGACTTATCTTTATGATCTTAATTGAAACCTTTGGTAGTTTAATATTCGACTAGCAACCAGAAATGCGTGAACTTCAAGTTTGCAACTAAATGCGCTTGAACAAGATATTTTCGTGTAATGAAACTTCATTTGGAACATGCAAGTTCAAATATTAACACAGTATTGACAGAATCATATTTTGTCCTTTTTGGTGAACTTAAAAACTTACAGATGCGAATAAATGAGCATAAAAATCACCCTGGACTGTCACTTGTCAAATCTCAAAATATGTACATAACCAGTTTATATCTTCTATAACTTGTCATATCAGAAGCCAAGAAGCTGAGACCTTAAACCGCCGAGTGTTTAAACATTGCTTTAAGGAATAGGCATATTAAAGAATTTCAAAATAACTTACAAACCCACTTACCTGAAGAAAAATAAACGTGCGAACGTTGTAAATATTTTTTACTCGGCAGCCATTTCGTCAAGTTTGCAACCAATTTTCTCGCTTGAACCAAGTGAGCAGCCACTTCACGTCCTGCCCTTGCAGTAAATATGATCAAGACATGCACACTACGGATGTACAAGAGACCAAAATCGTACAAAGGACTCAAAAAATGGCAGGTGAACGCTCAGTAAAAGTAGTAAAATTGAGGTAAGCATACAGTTAACGTTAACTTTATAGGTAAAACAAGGCCGCACGGAACCCCTGTATAAAAACCACATACTGTTCTGTTATTGGTTACCTTGTAGCTCTCTTAGTTTGGGCCTGAAAGTCGAAAAAAGTTGTTTTGGTTTGTTCTGCAACAAACAAACTCTTCACTAATAGTATAAATGTTTTTACCCTTGAAGTTACATTCTCATACATAGACCTAATGATATCTAACAATTTACTTTCCACTCCAAATTTAATCAATTTATGCCAAATAACATTTCTCATCAAATAATCAAAAGCCTTAGTGAAATCCACAAAAATCAGCATACAACTTTTTTTTACAATTTTATAAATGTGTGATAATACCATGTAATATAGGTATAAGCAAAAATGTCCATAAACGGTAGGTACAATGCAGTGTGCGTCAAGAAATCGCGCGTAAAAGGAGGGGCAAACTGACTCAAGGCGTTCTGCTCCTGCACGACAATGCGCCAGCTCACACATCCCAAGTTGCAATGGATGCTGCAACTGACTGCGGCTTTGAAATTCTTCCCCATCCCCCATATTCTCCGGACTTGCCCCCCTCTGCTTCGTTGTAGACGTTTTTGAAGCAATGAAGGTGTCATGAAGGCGGTCAATGAGTTCTTTGGGGACCAAAATAGAGAGCTCTATTTTGAAGGGTGAAAACAGTTGGAGCACAGGTGGGCAATGTGCATTGATGTAGACGGCGATTGTATTGAAAAGTAATTTTCTGACTACCGGAAGTACATCGGGCCAAGAACTTTTTGATCAATCCTCGTAATGATGCTCCTACTAATACTTATTTGTTCAGAATGTTAAAATCTATCTTTGGTACGTTGACTTATGTGAAAAATAAACTTGACACTCTGAGTGTACTAGAAAAAGGTTGTCAGTTTTGAGCATTGAGTTAACAAGATATGGTGTAAGCTTCTATTTTGACGAGTTGGGCTTTCTTTAGGGATTTCATTCTCTCCATTTGATGACTTTAACAAGCAATTCGCAGATCGTGTCAACACAATATGAAAGTAGAATCGACACAATTGAGTTCAATGAAGTAGCTCAGCGGTCTGAAATTAAGCACTTTACAAGGCAAAGTAGTGGTCTACAAGACGAACTTATCTATTTAGAATCGCCGAGTTTGCGCAATAATCTTATATTTGGTGGGACTGAGGAACCAATCAACGAACGACAGCAGGATATCGAACCTAAAGTGCGCAACTTTGTGGATAAAAAGCTGGAAGTTGCTCAATAAATAGTCGGTACCATGGTAATTGAGCGTGCTCAGGGAAACCGGATATCAAGAATTGGATCCAAACAAACAAAGTAATAGCATTATTGTCTGCACGTTTGCTAATTTCAAGGATAGGGAACAAGTATGAAAGCAAGGATTCTGCTTGAAAATTATTAAATTCTTCCATAAAGAACAGTTCCCTTCTGAAAATGCTGAAAAAGGCAAAAGTCGACCCCTAACTAAGAGTGTGCACGTGACTAGGGTAAGCAGACTTGGCTCGCATACGGCACCTTATATATTGACTGGAAGCCCCAGCATAGATAACGTGTTTCGGAGAATGAGCTTAAAATTATTGTTTGGAATTGTAATAGACTATCCAGTGACAAAATTAACTGATCAAAAGTTTGTTGAAATAATCAAAAGGAATGACGAAGTAATTCTTTCTGAATGGACTGTTAAAGACTCTGTTTTAGATATTGACGGTTACTATTGCTGTAATTATGAAAGAAAGTTCAGGCATTGAAGAGCGAGAAGAAATAGTGGTGGTTTAGTTATATAAATAAAAGGAAGCTATACCAGTGGCATATATGTTGTTAAAAATACTCATGACACAATTATTTGCCTAAAAATTGATTACTTTTATTTTTCACTTGATATTGATATTAATTTGTTTGGAGTTTACCTATGGTCAGACGAGTCCCCTAGTAAAATAAATGATGATTTGTTTGATTTATTATTTGATGATGTATTATATTTTGAAACGCTAGGAACAGTTATGATTGCTGGGGATTGAAACTCAACTTGGTGGCCATAATAATTTTATTTCCTGTGATGCTTTTAATAATCAGCTCGATTTTGATTTTTATACGCCTGATATTTCTTCCGAACGGACCTCAAAAGATATTGTATGCAATGCTCGAAGGTTTAGCATTGTAACACCACACTTTGGGGTCAAACGCACTTTGGGGTCCGACCACAAAGTGCGTTACGTAGAGTGCGTTACGCACTTTGGGGTCCAATTTCGACCCCAAAGTGCGTTAAACAGGTACATATGCATTTATTAACATCAGGCAAACGACCGCACTTTGGGGTCATAGAAAATGAATGTTCATTATGTTTTAAATAATATATTGTAGTCAAACCCAATGGTAAACAAAAATCAAGGTATTAAATAGACACAAACATGTGCCCTGAATTACAGTAGAATCAATAGGGATTCAAATGGTCTTGATTAGTAAGTGAAGAAATTTCACCACATAAATAAACAAAAAAAGAATATGTATTAATTATTAAGCTTAAAATATTTTTTTCTCAAATTTTCCATTTATTTTAAAAGAATGTATACCTTTCATTAAGTCCATTGTTTTTAGCTATTTGCATTTATTTACACATCTTATAGAAATATGATAGACTTAGCATATACAAAGGTATAAATACTGGGTAATCTTAGTAAGACATTTCAGTAAAAAATGTGCCTTATAATATGTTGAAAGAGCCATTTATTTAGCTAAATGTGACATATAAGAAACTTGACTAGGTGTAGATGCGGCTTTAAGTAGTAGTCCGTACAGGCAGTACTAAAAATATCAACTATTTAAGTAGTCGCACATTAAGAGCGGAGCTTCAGAATAATGTAAAATTCTCACTGGGGGTATAGAGGGGATTGTGGGGTATCGATCCTCCCCCTCCCTGAGGGTGAACAATAACGTTTTAAAGGCCCATTATGCTTTTATTTGTTTTTCTTGAAAGCTTTTTTATTTTGATGTTCTTCTATATTATCCAAAAAATATACATTTGCCAATTACCTGCACCATCTTTTTCATCTGTTGCTTTTTTGGCAATGATGAGTACAGTTATAGTGAATTAGTATTTTATATGGAAGTCTAATACTTCATTGTTTTGACTACTTTTATGACAAATAATTTCACATTTATCGCTACTTTATTCAGGTAACAAGCATCTTACATTTCTCTGATACCATTATTTTAACATTAAAGTATTCATGTTTGCTCTTTCTAAAGAAGTATGTAAGATTTCCCATCAAAAAAAGCCTCTGGCGAACGGTTGTTACGGAGCTTACAAAAACCCTTAAGTTTGTTGATAAGCTTAATAATGTATTTGTAAAAATCACTATTTATAGTCCGATCGAAAAACTTGATGTTTCACCAGGACATTGCAATAGTGTATATTTATAGTTCTTTGGAAAAAAATATTAACTGCATTTTTTTCATTCCCAACATATTTAAAATAGGCTCAATATGGCACCAAAAGTTATCAAGTAAATGACTGACAGAACGGGATATTTTTCGCAGCATCTTTTAATTTAAGGAATACACAATTTCTGTACTAGAGTATTTTGAACGGTGGCATAAAAGTGACATT